TAGTATTTTTTTTTTCTTAAACTTTATGTTAATATAGAGTATTTTTACCTTTCGTATTTTATTTGATTTATTTAATATTTCGATAGGTTCCTTTACAAACTTTTTGAAACATGTAAATCCATGAAAATGTTTTAGGACGATATTTTTTAATGTTTAGCAGAAATCGAGGATCATTACAATATCAAAGTAAATAACCATTCAATATATTACCAAATTATAGATTACATGCTTGAAAGTACAATTATAAATTACAACATAACATAACATATTGCGATACTTTTGTTTCTCATAAGTGTTTTTTCGATTACAAAGCAGATGAAACAAACTTACGCTTAGAGTTTGTGGCATCATTTGTTAGTATCGTCTTAAACAAATCCTCAAGTTCTAACACAAATCTTTCCATAGCTGGAGCAGGCAAGGATAAAGGCACCACAATTCCCTCTTCCCCTTTGTTGTTCTTGAAACTCATATAAAAGCTTGTCAAACCAGGGACTGTTGCAGCCCCTCCCATCGCAGGTCCTCCAAAAATGGCATTTCCCCATCCAAAATCAAGCCCATCTATCATAGCTTTCCTCACATCCGACACTGCCAACGATCTCACTGCAGTAAAGTTTGGTCGTCCTTTGATTACCATAAGATCTGCCACGGACTTCATGTACTCCTCTGTTACCTCATTCTTAGCCTTCCTAACCAATTCTACAGCATAACCTAATGGGTTCATGCAAAGCTTACCTGCAGTGGCGAGCGCTGCAGGGCAAGCAAATGCATTGCCGTAATATCCTAAGGGTAAAGATTTTGACTTGGTGCGTAAATTCACAATGCAAAGCAAGCGCATTTCTTCATTTGGGTCAGGTTGAAGGGCTATTGTACGAGTGCGCCAAATGCAAGCCGTGATGAGGTCGAAGGAAGAGCAACAACGGAGATGAGTGGGTAAGGTTTTGCGGATGGCAGAGATATCACTGGGATGAAAGATGACCGAGCGATGAGCCATGTCCTTGAGAGGGACAACGATGCCTTTGGTATCAACGACTTGGTCGTATTCATGGTGGTTATGAGTGATTGTGGGAGGATCTCTTGCATTTAAGAGAGCTCTTTGCCACACAGGAAGAATAGATGGTGCTACGGCACCTCGAGCTATTTCAGCTATGGCATTTAGGAATTGAAGTATACCAAAAGCATCAGCCACCGTATGATTTAAGCGAATGGCAAGGATGAAACCGCCACATTTAAGTCGTGTCACCTACAATAACCAGTCGTGTCACCTCCATGAATATTCATATAATTTTTCAAAGTAAAAGAACACATCGAATCTATACATACCTGAAAGAGCGACAATGGACAGTCAATGATTCCATCTGAATCTGGAACGTTATATAAAACATCCTCCAAACATGCAAATGGAGGGTAAATTGCATCGCCGAACTGTTCCAAAGTAACATCTGCATCTGCTTCAATGAATAAGACACCTTCGCCTGTACATTCAACAAATAGCTTCCGTCCCGGCCCTTCCCTCAATCTACCTGCAAAAGGGTAGTAAAATACCAACGTCTCTGCAAGTGCCTTTCGTATCACATCCACGGGATCTCTTCCATCCATGCTTGGATTATGTGGATAGAAGAATATTGTTGGAATTTGAAATCTGAAACCTTCTTGATCATCGATGTCTGAAAGTTGTTTAAACTCATATGGTGTCGGTTTTGCTGGAGCAATCAATTCCGGTTGACATCTTTGTACCTCGAACACAAAATCATTCTTAGACGACATAGCCATTAGAAAGAAACGAGTGAGTAAAAAGAGCGTTAATTTTTGAGTGGTGGGAGGGAAATTGTTGTATTTGCAGCAAAAGGACGTATGATTTAAAACCAAGTGGCCTTTCATAATTCAATATGTTTGAATGGAGTTAGTCGTTTCCAAATTGAAAGTCTCTTTAAATATGTTCACGTTTAAAATAAAAAACATTTTCAAATTTTATTTTTGAATTTATTTTATTTTTCAACCCTTAAAGTTATAAATTTAATTCATAAAACTTTCAAATTTTTATTAAATTCATGGAATCTACAATTTTATCGACCATACATTTATATTTACTAAATAATTTATTTTTAGAATATTTAAAATTTTCATTAGAAAAAAAAAAAATTAAGATATAATAAAAGTTTAATAAATTATTAAATATAACTCTCCCCACAAGAAAAAAAAGTAGCATGAATATTATAAAAATTATAGCTCGCTTCCCGACTCCGATAATATTTATTTGTTGAATAAATATGTTCCATAATTATTGTGGAGAAACAAGTCGATATCCCAATGAAGAGTGAGTAGAAGAGCTGAAAATGACCTCTTCCAATGAGAAACAACCAAGTGGTTCCGTGGTCCCTCGTGAATTTCCAATAATTTAAACGATTTTGGATGATCAACCCAAACCGGTCAGAATCATCTGAAGCTAAAGCTAGATCAGGAATTGAGAGTTTTTGAGTCTATTAAATACGATTAGTTAGCCTTGCCGTGATTTTTTTTAGAGGTGATAAAAGAAAAGTTGACAATTAAGAAAACTCCCTTCTTTGACAATATGCTTTTAATAAATAGAGTTTCGAACTTAAATAAACATCCAAAGTATCCATAAATCTAAATGGAAAATATGCTTTTAGTTCGGTGTCTTTTTGCGATGAACCGCCTTGATTTTAGCGTTAGATTAATCAACACGTTATTGCGGTATGACCTTATAATCGGCTTCAACTAGGTATAACTTTGTGTTTCGCCTTCAATCATGTCTTGCTTCAGCTTTCAAAAACCTTACCTTCACTTGCCTCCGTGACCCATAATTGGAAAATCCTATTGGGCTAGTAATTATATTTTAACATTCTCCCTTAGCACTAGTTCTCACTTGTCGCACCCTATTGAACCGATAGCGATAGCCCTCATATTTACCAATATACAGCATTTTTGTAAACAAATCTTCCACTTGATCATCCGTCTTTTCACTTCGAGACTTTCTCTCTAATTAAATGGCAGTTCACCTCCACATGATTTGTTATAGCACGAAACATCATATATTTTACTGGGTAAATCACATATTGGTGACATCGGATAGTCAATTTTCTAGTGAAAATCATCCATTAAAAGTTTAAGCCACTTACTTTCTTAAACTGCTTTAGTCACTACTCTATTTATTTCGGTAGTTGCAATGATATTGTTTGTTTGTTTGTTTTTTTTTTTCACTAAGAAATTATTCCGAAACCAGCTTAAACAGATACCCAGTGGGTTGAACTTCTCGTGGTCTCCTTCGTAGTTAGCATCATAGTATACAACTAGCTTATGATCTTTGCTTCTTTTGTCCAAATGAGAAGTTCTTTGACATATATCAGAATCCATTGAGCTGAATCCAAATGAGAATTCTTTGGACTTTGCATGTACCAACTCATGATACCAACTACATTCTTAAAGCACTTTAGTTGGTTCACATAGATCTCTCGGTCCAACTTATCATGCATGAAAGCATTATTCCCATCCATTTGCCACAATTTCTAATATTTAGTTGCTGCAAACTCTAGCGGAGACCATACCATAGTGATCTTCGCCAATGGACTAAACATTTTATCATAGTCTAGTCCATATTATTTAGAGAATCCTTGAGCTACAGGTTGAGTCTTATTTTGTCGTTTTCTTTTAACCGGGTTCATTTTGTTGAGTCTCTTCTTGCTCACCAATGTCAATATCACTCGGATCTTCAGGTGCATCAACACTTACCAAATGTGTATAGTTTGCTCTTCTGTCTTAAATTTTAGAATTTCTTCAATGCTGGAGTATATTAAGTTTTTCTTCTCTAAGAACTATCACGCTTCTGTTGTGCCACTTTGATCGCCAGACATGTGATTTGAGCATCTTGAATCAATGATCCAATCATTTTCATAAATGATATGCTCACCTACTATCACCATGAGTGCTAACTCATCTTCTTCTAAAGCACCTAATACCTTTGCATCTCATTCATCCTTCATCTCCTTTTTAGAGGTTGTCACATCCCTTCTTTTCACAATTGTAGTAAATGCATTCAAATCTCTTCCCTTGAGAACTCCTGCTCATTCTTCTAAGCTCTTACAAGTTGTGTTGTTCTTTGGTGACTTCTTCCTTTATCACTATTTTTGTATCCAGGCAGTTGTTATTTGGTGACTTCTTCCTTTGTCACTATTTTTGTATTCTTCCTTTATTGTTGCTCGAACTTTTACTTGCATAGAGCACTTCTTTAATCTTCAATGTGATATTTCCCATTTGCAATTTCCAAATTCTACCGGTTATGGTTGAGCAATCAGTGTGATGTTTCTCATTTGCTTTGCCATGTCATATTCGCAAGCTAGCAAGGTTGAGCAATCCGTGTGATGTTTCCCATTTACTTAGTCATGACTTCTTCGCAAGTTAACAAAATTTTCAACCGTATAAGTGATAGTTGAGCACATCATCCTTCAAGTGAATTGATTCTTTTTCTACTTCTACCTATCCACCAGCTTGAGGGTGAGCTAGAATAGAACATAGATGGTCATTGTTAAGATTTGGACTTGATTTCCTAAAACTTGAATTCTCCAACTTCATTCCATTGGCTGATATTATAAAACATTAAGAATTCCAAAATGAGACAATTTAGAATGTGATATGCTCAAAGCAGGTCCAATTAATCAATGTAACGTATTGTGTAACTTCTAAAAAGCAAACCCATCTTCCAAACCACAAGTGATTCGTTTGGGCTTGCGAGCATGTAGTTGTTTAAATTTAGAACAGAGAAGTGCCACATCAATGATTTACCATGCCCAAACTCAGGGAACTCCCCCATGAGATCTTCAAAAGGCCACTACTCTTGAGCTGCTCCTATGAGTTAAAAGCATCCAAGCTTTTAACCATACCCATAACCAAACTCAAATACACTCGACATTGCCCCGTTCGATCAATCACGAGAAAATGTCAAATCTCCTACATAAAAATGGCATTCTATACATGAGCATGTAGAATTCAATCCACAACCTAAGAGAAAACCCTTCATTCTTACATATTTTAGAGCAGGAAACCATGAGGTTCACAATATGAACACGATGCAACATCAGGCTGTTGACATGTTTACCAATAAATATCGACATACGCTGGTCTATATCTGGGAAACATGAAAGTTTCAGAGATTATGACAATTGAAATGTGCACCACATACCAACCAATCTATAAAAACAAGTCAGTTTTAAATGTTGATTTAATCAGTGGCAACTGGTTGCTAATATCATAGTATCAAGAAGTCTAATGCGACTCAGATTCGGCTTACACCAGAGGAGGATACTGCTTGGCTTGTTGGCGAACCCTCTTCTTGTACTCAACGGCATCCTGCACAAGGACAAATTCTTGCATTTAACAAAAGAAAATCTTAAAAGTCAGGTGGTTATCCAATTAACACATGATTCAAGTACAAATCAAATGGTTGTAGGAACCAACATCATAACTCCCATTTTGAAAAACAACTATTGTGTACTCTTTTGTTGTATCTAATCTAGAACAATTAATATAAAGAATACATGAAATGTTTTCTCTTGAAAAGTGTTTTCACACAGTTCAATCAAACCCACAAGAGCATGCACAAAATCCATTTTAGATATATCTCTACATAATGAAGAGGAATTATACGAAGGAGGAGTGATAACTAAAATAATCAAGGTGAAGACAACACAACAGTAAGCGGGTCACAGGTCTACACATGAACGTGTTGAATACCATTACAGAATACACAACACAACAGTAAGCGGGTCATAGGCCTACATGAACATGTTCAATACCACTACAGATTACACTTGGACTACCATCACAAGCAAGGATTGAGCTTTCACTTCCTTATTGAGGAAAATTATAGAGCAAACATGATCAGATTTACATTCAAAAGGGAAAAAAATGCATCTAGTGGTTGACGTACCTGGATGAAGAGATGATACCCTTCTGTCTGGGCGGGATCAGCAGGATTTGGTTGATCCAGCAAATCCTGGATTCCAACAAGAATTTGTTTAACTGTTATGGCTGGTCTCCACCCCTACACATGAACGGAGAAAGTTCAGGGGCAGATCAGGTGATCTCCTGATAAACATACAGCCATAAGTTTCCATTTACTACTCACACTATCTTCATTGAGAATTGACAAGCAGACTGTTCCTGATGGGTACACGTTAGGATGGAAGAAACCCTGAGGAAATCTACACTTTGGTGGCTTACTTGGGTAGTCTTCACTGAAGTTGAGTGTAAGGGGAAAGAAACCACCCTCCCAGTCTGTCTGTAAAACAATAAGGACTATGTCAACTTTAAATAGTATAAAACTTCAGTGCATGGTAATACTGAGAAAGTTAAGAGAAAAAAGTCCACAGGACAATAGACATCAATGAAAAGAAGGCCTATTGAAAACATCTTAAAGAACAGCTAACCCAACCCAGCTAACCCAACCCAGAAATAGAGGGTTGGGTTGGGTTGGATTGTGAAAATTTTTGGGTTGGGTTGGGTTACCAATCCAACTAACCCGAACTTCTGGGTTGAGTCAAAAAAACCACTCAACTCAACTCAAACTCAACCTGGACCATGTACACTCCTACCCCTACCCCTACCCCTACCCCTAGGACTTGAAGAAATGATGAAAGCAGCTCAAAGAAGAGAGGACAAAAATATGGCCAAACTTGCCAAATTTGGGTCAAGGTTTGGCCCAAGTAATTATTGAAATCCACGGAACACGTTGGAAAATCCGAGAGAAGCAATCAGTCGTATTGTCTGTGTCAACAACCATTTAGCTAATAAGCCCGTGGATAACGAGGTTCCCAAAATGATACTTCCTGATATTGTATTTGAAGCAGTTGTTCAAATATCTTAAGATATGGTCGTGTCAAGGACATATTGGTTAAAGTAGATTCTTCTTGAAGTGATTTTTGGAAGTAGGAAAAAAGATTAAAAGTTGAATCATTCACGAATCGGTTTGTTGATGTTGGATTTGATTAATGCAATGCATTGTTTCGAGCAAATTGTCAAACACGTTTAAGGTACCTATGAAAGCAATAGAAGCAAATCCTATCCCACACAATTACCTAGGCAAACCCACAACCTACCCAACGTATGGAATTATGCTACATGGGGTTGACAAACACTGTCCTACAGTCTCAGAAAGAGAGTGAATTGTGTTAATGATGTGATGAGAAATTCTTCGTGGGGCACAAAAGTTACAAATTAGGACTTAGTTGTAAGCCCGAAGAAGCTAAGATTGAAGAAAGAGCAAAAGGTGGATAATACAAGGAGGAATTAATCGAGCTTTCGCTGAACACCATGATGGGTTTCTCCACACCTAGTACAATCAAAGTAAAAGGCATAACCAAGAACTTCCCTACCTTGAATTGGATAGCATCGATATTATTTTGGGCATACAATGGTTATGAACTCTAGGAGTGACCAAGGTCGACTAAAAATTATTTTGAGCTTGCAATGGTTATGAACTCTGGATTGACCAAGGTCGACTAGAAATTATTTTGGGCATACAATGGTTATGAACTCTAGGAGTGACCAAGGTCGACTAAAAATTATTTTGGGCTTGCAATGGTTATGAACTCTAGGAGTGACCAAGGTCGACTAGAAATTATTTTGGGCATGCAATGGTTATGAACTCTAGGAGTGACCAAGGTCGACTAGAAAGCTCTCTCGTACCATGGGTAGCGATGATAAAAAAAGTGGTAATCCCTCTCTAACAAAAGCAAAAGTCTCACTGAAGCATCTACATTGGTTATGAGAAAGGCAAGATGAGGAGTTTCTTGTGGGACTTCGAGCCCTCATTGCACCAAATGCAAAGGCTCGAGATAGTGGTGTCAGCCCCAACCTCATCCCCACCTTGATCAATCCATAGGATGATAGATGAATACAAAGAAGTGTTCCTAGAACCTGCATATCTACCTCCCCCATGGGAACTAGATCATAAAACCAAACTGAAAAAAGGGACAAGAGCCCATTAACATGAGGCCTTATCTATACCATTTTGTTCAGAAAGAAGAGATCAAGTGGTTGATCAACGAGATGTTGACGGCAAGCATCATTTGACCAAGTGTCAATCCCTATTTTAGTTTGGTGTTGTTGGTAAAGAAAAAGGATGGGAGTTGGCACTTTTGGGTCAATTATCATGTGTTTAACAATGTTATCATGCTAGATAAGTTTCCCATACTTGGGATGGAAGAATTGTTGGATGAACTACATGGATCTTAGGCATATTCAAGTTGGATTTACGCTTGAACTATCACCAAATAAGGATGTTTGAAGATGATATTTCCAAAATGGCATTTCAAACACATTAAGGCCATTATGAATCGCTAATCACATCATTTGACCTCTCCAATGCTCCATCAACCTTCCAAGCACTTGTGAACCTAGTATTTCAACCTTTCTTACGCAAGTTTATTCTTGTAATCTATCAAGATAACCTGACTTACATTCCTAATTTGGATACTCAAATTGAACACTTGGTTGTTGTGTTGAATATTTTGTGAGAGAATTCATTGGCCACTGACCTTGAGAAATGTCAATTCACAAGGGATCGTAAGGAGTACTTGGAGCATTGGGTGTCTACTAACGGAAATCTTATCTCAAAATCAACAACCCATCACTTTTTTCAATCACACATTATCAGCTCAAGCCCATATGAGAGGGGATCGATGGCCATTGTCCTAGCAGTACAAAAAATGACATCCTTACTTATTGGGTCAACGATTTGTAGTGCGCACATACCAACAAACGGTTAAACAGTTGTAGGGGTATGGCTATGAAAATCAGTATCAACTTGAGTTAGAAAATAAGGTCGTCAATGCTCCATGTTGAATGTCACCCACAGTGGACTTGGCCTTGGCCATGTTGACAACATCGGCTATACATGGTATTGAAATGGTTAGGAAAGAAGTTAATGAGATGAAGTTTTGAAACAAATTCAAGGAAGATTTGGAAAAAGACCCCACCAGTCACCCTAAATTCTCAATACACCAAGGAAATATGCTTTATAAGAATCATTTGATTCAATCCTCAACCACTGAATTTTTACCAATTGAGTTGTATTCATTGATGACTCCGTATAGGAGGTTATTTCAAGTTCCTAAGGACCTTGTAAATGGCTAATGGCAAAGTGTACTGGTCAGGCATTAAGGGGCATGTAAAAAATATGTGGAATGTCAAGTGTGCCAACGTAACAAGTCTCTCACTTTATCTGGCATGACTTCTCCAACACTTACCAAGATCTAATCAAGGGTTGGAGGATATTTCGATAAACCTAATTGAGGGTTTGCCACCAGCCAATCGCCATAACATGGTACTTGTAGTAGTGGACAGATTGAGTAAACATGCCACTTCTTAGCTTTAAATCACCCCCTACATTGCCAGACAATGGTTGCTTTGTTTGTGAAGGAGATTGTTCGTTCATACGACTTCCTCTTCTCCATTTTATCCAATCAGCAAGATTTTTATTAGTCACTTTTGGGCTGAATTATTCTGAGTTCAAGGTCCTCAGCTACACGTTGGAGCATAGCATACCACCCTGAGACTAGCGGACAGACCAAGATTCTTAACAAGTGTTTGAAGACGTATCTTTGATGTTTTTGTAGAGCAAAACCGATCAAGTGGCTGCAGTGTGGCCCTCATGGTCAGAATTTTAGCACAATACCACCTACAGAAGTAACACACCAACTAAGAACCAGCTAATTCTCTCTAATGACTTTGAATGGGCAACCTTTCCTAGGACGTCAGCTTACCAACTGAACGATGAGATAAAGGAATGGAAACTTTAGATTCAATGGAAAGGCTTACCTAATTATGAAGCTACATGGGAAACGCTTGACATGTTTCACAACAAATTTCCAAAATTTCATCTTTAGGACAAGGTGTCTTTCAAGACGGTGGATACGTGAGGCCCCCAATCGTAAATTTCTATGTTAGAAAGGGTAAAGATGGAACTAAACCATCCCCTAGTTAAGTGGTTAGTCGTTAGTATATATTTTTTGGATTATGCCTAGTGTACTCTTCGTACTTTTGAATAGTTTGTACAACCAGACTTGGTATGTAAGGGGAGTCCCATCCTCTCGAAAAGGTTGTTTGAATATCACTAAGCAAGCAGGATCCTTAACGTCATTTCCTACTACAATAATGAGCATGTATATCCTAGAAATTACTAATACTAGTATTTATATCTAAAAATTGAGAGATTCTCAAACGACTATTGACCCTTGAATGAAAAAGTAGTTTCAGTGCAAACCTAAAAAGAAATGTTGAGTTTCAACCAAAGATCAGGAATAAACCGATAACAGAAAATAAATCCAAGTCGAAATCAAGTTGCGGAGGATCCATTTAGATAGAAGAGAGATGCACTTCAACAAATCTTTTCACATACTTGAATCAATCAGATATAAAGAATAAAAATTTAAATGTTAATTTAGCAATGAAAACTCCCAACAATCGTTGCAAAGCAAGCTACAGCCACGTATAGCGCTAAAAGTTACACAATAGTAGACTTACTTCTACTGGCACGGGAATAAGGAATAAATAGAGAGTCCTTTCCACTTAGTAGTGGAATTTGGGAACTTATGAACTGCAACTTCCTGATGGGATTATATTACCAAATTAACTGCTTCTCAGCCTAGGCAATTACTCATGACTCCATTTCATCCGATTTTCAATATTAACATTGTACAGCAACAAAATATTGTTATATTATATATTGAAGATGCTGGAATAGGTACATAGGAATTTTCAGTTTGCTATCATAAGAATCTGCGTGATGGTGTCAGCTGATCAGGCAATAATACCCAATAAACTTCGATCCTTTCATCACTGCCAGGTTCGAAAAGCTTGATTTAGTGATCAGAAATTTCATATAGGTGGCCCAAAGGATCTTGAGCCCTGAAATCAAGATAGTTTGTCATGGAAAAGAAGGTTGTCTTTTAGCCACAATAACAGTTGATTGCGGCTATGAGATTCAAAAGATCAGCCAATTCGTGATCCCAAGTTGAAAAGGAAATAAAAATGGATTAAAGTTCAAAGAGTATGCAAACTGGGAAGGAAAAAAGCAAAGAAACAAAGCAGATCAAATCACGAACTAAGAGGCGTTCAAAGCTTATCCTTCCTCAAAAACCAACACAGAATTCCAGAGAGCAGAAGAAGAATTAGGGCGTGCAAGATTGAGAACAAATTCGGAATCAACTTCATAATTTCAAGAGAAAAAAAGACAATCAATCCAACAATTTCAAGCATACCCCAACTTTCCCAGGAATAATGCAATGCCAAACCATCAAATTCACCGTCCCATCAGGCAGAGTCTCCGGTTTCGCAACAAAACCCTAAAAACACAAAAATCATTAAAAAAACAAAATCCTTCCGAAGCAGAACACAGAAAAAAACATGATGAAGACGAACAATAAGGAATACCCACATGCGGATGATTCTTCCGCCACGACTTCCGCTCCTCCGTCAGACGACCGCGTGCAATACCACCCGACATGCCTCTCTCTCTCTCTCTAGGAACTCAAAATTCCCGCAACAAATCAGAAATCCAGAACCAGCGATCCCAACACAGCCAGAAGCAGAGAAAGACTCAAAGTCTTTGGAGCCTTATAGGAACGGAGAGGGAGGTATTAGGAGCAGTCGCAGAGAGAGAGACTGCAGTTGAATCAAACGTACGGCTGAGATTGAATCGAGAGAAAGGGTAAAGGGGAAAATGGAGGCTGAAGCGGATGGAAGAACATATAAAAATTTGTCTCGATTATGTTCTGAAATTTGGATAAATATTGAGCTGAAATTAAATTGGGCGACAACCTCGCAAAAGTCAAATCAGAATCTGTCGAATTTTCTTTTCCAATTCCGAAATTTCGCTTCAGATTCACGCCAATTTTCGATTTGCCATGATGACGACTTTGGTATGTTCTCTCCAATTTCAATTAATTTTATTTATTTATTTATTTATTAAACTGAGATGGATGAACTAGTTTACAATTAGACCCAATTTTTATGATTTTGGTTAAATGGTCCAGGTTAGTCGAATTATCGAATTGTATGAACACTCCAACAATTTTACTCTATAAGCTTTTGGTTTAATTGTAACGACTCAAGTCCACCCCTAGTCGATATTGTCCTTTTTTAGCTTTCACTTTTGTGATTTCCCTCCAGATTTTTTAAACATGTCTATTAAGAAAAAGTTTTCACACTCATATAAATAATGTTTTGTTCTCCTCTTCAATCGATGTGAGATCTCACACAATCCACTCTTCTTCAAGACCTAGCATCCTCGCCGGAACTTGTTCTCTTCTCTAATCGATGTGGGACCCCTCAATCCACTTCCATTCGAAGGTAACATCTATACTAGCACACTGCCTTGTGTCTACTTCTTTTTGAAGCTCAGTTTTCTCGTTGGCACATCGCCTGATGTCTGGCTCAATCTTCACAGTCTACCACTAAAAAATATTGTCCTCTTTTGTATTTATTGTTGGGTCGTTACATGAATATTTATTTATTCTCTAAAATTTTAAAGTATTAAATTACTTCGTTTATACTTGGTTTTTAAGTTTATAAATAATTAAACTTTTAATTTTATATTTAATAAATCTTAAAATTTTCAATTTAATTGGAATAAAATGGTAAAATATTTGATATTTTTTAAGTTTAATAAGATTGATATAAAATTGAAAGTTTATAATTATATTAGAATTTATTAAATACAAAAGAGTTATATGACCAATGAGACGTTCCGTTGTATCCACCAACATTTAAGTAGTCTTGCACATAATAAAAAATTATTAAAGTAATTAAAACGTTTTAAAGTTTTCTTTCGATTCAAATCTAGTTCAATATCTAAACAAAAAAATCTCAATAGTGAAACTTTTTAGTACAACACGTGCTGTGGTGATTGGATCATCAAACCTTTTGATAAGACATATAACGTCTTAATTAATTGTGACGTATAATTGACCAACATAGTTTATAACTCCAACATAGTTCAAACCTTTATAACATCTTAATTAATCGTGTTCAACTCAAATAATGCCGATGATAATTTGATATATCATTTTAATCATGGTTGAATAAGAAAAAAAGATATTAAATCAAAAGTATAGAGAATTATAAATTAAATAAACTCAATCATTATATTATTAATAAATTTAGGTTAAATTATAAACCCGACTTAAATATTAAAATTAACTTAATGTTATAAAATAGTCGAAGATTCTACTCTCCAACCGATGTGGGATCACACAATCTACTCTCTTAGGATCTAAGGTCTTCCCTGGCACACCGTCCAGTATCTAACTCTAATATCATTTGTAACAGTCAAAATCTACCGCTAGCAAATACTGTCCGTTTTGACCCATTACGTATCATTATCAGTCTCATGGTTTTAAAATGTGTTTGTTAGGGAGAAGTTTTCACACTTTTATAAAGACGGTTCAATCCTTTCCAACCAGTGTGGAATCTCACAATAATTATTTTTTAGGAGAGAAATTTTCATACAAATTTCAACGTTCAGATAATTTAATCGACGTACAATCATATAGTTCAATATGTAGTGGTGTCGGTAGGTGGACGTTTAAAAACATAGTTGTCCTGTTTCCCTCAAATTCATCAACTTCTCAATTACTTTTCTCCTTTATTTTAATATTAATCCAAAAATTATAAAAAGTGATAAATTTGTAACTGCTATGGATAATTATCAAAATAATTAATTATTTTTAAAATTTGAGATTAAAATATATATTAGGAAGTTTTATATAACCTAATAAAATAAACTTAAAAAAAGAATATTAAAATTAACGTGTCTGATATACTATCTTCCAGATTTGGTTAATAAAATATTTATAGGATTTAATTCGTAATTTGTATTCTATTTAAATAAGATGATTAATGAAAATTAGACTTTTGATTCCATTCTCACCCTTTTGTTTTCTTGTTCTTAACATGACATCTGACATCAGACATCGTTCAAACACATTCTTAACAACATGTTATAATTTGGCTCTACATAAAGGACATGAATTGCTACATTGAAACCAGGTGAGGATGCATGATTTGTGAAACATATGACCGCATGGGATCTTAGCCACCTCCTTATCTCCGCCCTTCTCTTCATCGTAGCATTCGTAGCACACGCTGCACTCTTCTCCTCCCATCCCCTGTTTTCCGGCCGCCGCCGCCGCCACCGTCGCCGCCACTCCAGCTTTGTCCAGAACTATCCTCTCCTCCACCATTACACCTCGCCGAACAGGACCCCGGCTCTCCTCCCTCCAAAACATTTGAATGTAGTCAATATCCACCACCAATTGGAACTTGGCATCGTAGTCTACCGCGGCCCACTGTGTGACCAACGACGTGATCTTCTGGATAATTGGGTTGCAGGACATGGAGTCGAGGTTCAAGGAGGACACCAATTCAACCAAGTAAGCATGGCAGAATAACGGATCTTCCAGCTCCCGTAGAGGCAGAGGAAACAGAGCATCCGCTATCGGAGTCAATGGAGTTTCTTCCAGGATGTCGTAGGGAAGGCCCGCGGACGGCGATTGGGAGATCAGACGGCTGGAATAGCCCAGCCGGACTTGGAGGAGTTGATCGGTGCCGTGGTGGCGGCGGAGAGAGTAGCGGAGGGTGGAGGAATTTGCGAAAAGCATTGTAATTGTGAGATTGTTGGATTGAAAAATAATAATATTAATGGGGATTTTGAAGTTTTAATATCAAATTAGAATTTGTATTTGAAATAAGTCTCAATAATTCATTTTCTACCGCTTATTTTATGGAAACTCTCAAAATCAAATATTTAATTTTTTTTTATCTTTATTAATTTGACTTTCGTTACACTCAAATAAATCAATAAAATACAAAATTTTTTGTTATTCATTTAATTACTTTCCAAAAATACAACATTACTTTTTACATTTTCACGTGACATAAAATTGAAATTTTGATATGGTTGCGTGAATGTTTGTGTAGTTGATCCACGTTTCAAAAGGAGCGTTTTAAATTTTAGCTTTCGTCTCGATCTCAACCTGATATTTTTATTTATTTTTTCTCTCAACTAGGCATCGTGAGTCTGGTACCATCGTGTTGTCCTTCTAGGGTTTTGTACACGAGGTATGCTCATAGGGTCACCCTTCGGTTCCTACTTTTTCTTTTAAAATAAGATTGTTATAATATGTATGTTATGATTATTGTATGCGACAAGTCTTAAAAAAATAATTCACTTTAAACGTCTCGTTTCGAATTTAGTAATATCATCGTAAAAGTAACGGTTGAAAACTAGAAAAACATTTATTATCTAAGTTTAGAAATAGATGCGATCGACCTACCTTAATATAAAAATTGCGACTTAAATGCGCAAATCTAACTGTTGTGACGTTTCATGGCTTCTTCTACTGACGACATTATCCCTACATGGGACCCTTACCTTTATATGGAAAACAAAATGAAACGTTAGTTGAGTATTGAAAAATACCTCAGTAAATGTCCCCACCGTGTGAATCGAGAAATGCAATCATGTTAAGTCATCTCATCGTCATGCATCTTACATTGTCATGTTATCATACATAATCATCATCATATAACATAATCACAAAACATCATCTCATCATCATATAACATAAAACATAAATCACACGTGCAAGGGGCACTGAGTATGTGTCGTCATACACAAGTCAAGTCTTCCGACCGAGCCAATGGTAAAGCCACTTAGTTAGTTGGCCTTAGCCGACGTTCTCCCTAAAATAATCACTCGAGTTCGTTTGAATTCTGTCCCTTGAAGTTGCTCCAAGTATCATTGAAAATTGTTTCCTATTAAAACGTCCATCTCGTTTCTTTAATAATTCACATTTCTAACTTCATTCAACTTAAACTTGGTAATATGACGTTATACTGACTTCAATTGCTTTAATTAAGGTGAAATTCAGCTCCGAAAAGGTAAAAATATCAAGGGCCAGTGTCAAAAATGCCAAATCGAGCTAAATACACCATTTTTTAGTCGAGCCACTGCGTGAAGACGACATACAACTTTACCCCTGTTCTCACGTAAAACCAAAATAATTTCAAAGTTTAGTTTAGTATTGATTAATTAGATGATCTAAGCTAAATCCAACCAATCAATTATGTCACGTGGTGATCGATCTTAAAATAGTTAAGATCGAGATCATCCAAATTTAAATATTTTAAATTTATTGAAAAAAATTAAATTAAGCTCAAAAAAATTAAATTAAGTGAGCTTAAAATAATTTATTTATACGAAACTTTTAAACATAAATAGTTTTTTTTTTTTTAATTGGCTTTTAAACCTTCAAGTATTTTATTTAAGCACAATAAACTTTTATTTTACTTAATTTATTAAAAACGATAAATTATTTTTTTAGTTTCTCAAATTTAGAGAATAAAAAAAAAAATTATCTGTAAACAAATGACAACCTTATCCGGAAGCAAATACCTTCCTTAAAAAAAGTATAAAATATTATTTTTCCTTAAATCAAATCTCAATAATAATAATAATAATAATAATAATAATAATAATAATAATAATAATAATAATAATAATAATAATAATAATAAGAAAAAAGAATATTAAACCTTCATTAAGAAAGGACGCTTCCTGAGGTAAAAGGTCATAAAAAAATACTCGAGACTTGACTCTTTTTTAGGATGACTAAGTTTAGGGTATGATTTTGATACTATGTTAGACGAACACGACTCTCTACAATGATATAATATTGTTCACTTTAAGCATAACCTATCATGACTTTGCTTTGGGCTTCCCATAAGGTC